ATTGGCCCAATCCCTTCACCACCACACCACTCAGACTCTGATGGGGACTAGTGGCACAGTTCATGTAGAAAGATACAGAAATGTGACATTCCAGGTAAGGCCTAGCAGATATTGGCTGTCACATTCCCAGGGTCTATTCTCGCCTTCTTCCTGGCTTGGTGCGTTCAGTCCTAACTGATAGACAAGGTGAGAACTGAAAAACTTCATTTGGGTTTGGTGGCATGAAACTGGTAACACATCCAGAACTGTGGGATGGACCGAGGAGTGAGTGTGAGGTGGGACAGTGAAAACCTGAAGAAGAGAACTCTTTCAGGACGTCTGGCTGGCTGATGGTGGGCAGAGCTGCGTGGGGGGCAGCTCAGCTTGAGGGGGGAGATAGGATCAAGACACATTTTATTGTTTTTGAGACAAGTTAAACCGGAACTCACTGAAACACTGCTTCATTAGGTACTGAAGAACCAGCAGCTTAGAGAAAACAAAGGTTCCCAAGAAGATAAAGTTGATGGCAGGAGGGCCCAGATACAGGGATCCATATGGAGAGAAGACCAAGTCGTCTAACCTAATGGGAGGGATGGCAAGAAAAATGGCAGATAAGGCCTCCCTGGTGGCGCAGGCAGTTGAGCGCAGCACTGTGAAGTTGTCCACAGCCTCTGCAGTGCCGATTCGATCCCCGCTGGCCTCAGAGCAACCCACATGGCGAGCAGACCTCTCCTGTCTCTCCCGCTGCTCCCCTCAGCAGTGTATTTCAGTGGATTTGCCTGTTCTGCTCCCCACCCTGTCTCTGGTAAGTCCTCTCATACCCACCCCCGCACCTCTGGCTTACACCCCAGCTCTTCTGTACATAAATAAATCTTTTTTAAAAAAGTAAAGATGCCTGTGAATCTCCAGACATGGTTCTATTCACAAATACCAAAGTCAATCTTCTAAAACAATATAACAAATCTGAGATGCAATCATTTAAATTCATCTCTTCCTGAATTAGCTTCATCGAAATATTTACTGGGTCAAAATTAGACAGTGGGTCACAGTGCCTGTGCATATTACTTCTATGCTCTACAGGATGTCTCTTGTTAAGATGGGCCTCAAAGGTCAGCAGCCCAAATGGAAAGGGAGGCCTCAAAGAGAAACTTGCAGCTGTAGGGCAGCTTCCTTCCACCCAGCCTGTTCCCGCTGAGCCACAAATACCCTCAACCACCTGGTCTAAGTAGGGCAGTACCCAAAAGAGGGAGTCATGGCTTTTGCTGTAATTTATGGGTCTAAGTGGCCCTTTGTCGTAACAACTTTTGGTTCCTCTCTGCCTGGGTCCATCCAGGATAAGTCCTCCTTGTGCCTGCAACACACTGGTCCCTTTTTTGTCAGGAATGTGCTATGATATTGCCAAGAAAACCAACATGTTTTGAATGTGCTCACTCACACAGCAGAACTATACATCATACTGGTTATGCAAAGGCAGGAAGTGTGTATGTTAGGTTATGCTTTTCTTATCACCTACTATAGACAGAGGCTGTTTAATTTCTTGGCTTTGAACTTATTTTTTTTTCAAATCACAATACTGTTATTTCTTGAATTGTTGGTGTCCTTTCCTAGTGCTTTCTAGCTAGGAGGATTTGGGTGCCAGGGCTGCATATTTTTAAGATTTATTTTATTTTTATGCATATAAGAGTTGGGGTACAGACCACAGGTGCGGGGGGTGGGAGGAGGTGTGAGAGGATGCATCAGAGACAGAGTGGGGAACAGAACAGGCAGACTGACTGAAATACACTGCTGAGGGGAGCAGCGGGCGAGTCAGGAGAGGTCTGCTGCGCCATGTGGGTTGCTCCCTGGCCAGGGATCGAACTCGTGCTGCAGTGGCTGCTGTTAGCTTCGCAGGTTGCGTCTTAACCCCTTGCTTCACCAGGGAGGCCCAGGGCTGCATATTTTTAAGAATGTTAGCATGCCTTAAAGTATTGGTAGAGATTCTTGAACTTGGATGACAAACATATATGTAACACACACATTTTAATTGTGGCTAACGTTTATTGAGCATTTACTATATGGTAGCTACTTCAAAGAAACTCATCTTTAACCCTCTAACACTCCAGTGAGGTGCGTTCTATGAATGTCACCATTTATAGATTTTACCAGAACAGAAGATGCTAACTCCCTCGTCCAAGCACAGTTTGTCTCTGGCAAAGCAGAGGGTTCACACAAATGTTCTTGTTCCAGAGAGCCCAATCCCTTCACTACCACACCACTCAGACTCTGACGGGGGTTAGTGGCAGAGTTCATGTAGAAAGATACAGAAATGTGACATTCTGTTAGAAAATTTGAGAATCTGGTAGTTTGATAAAGACAGGGTTTCTCTTCTCCATAAAAGACTGATCTACTCCCCAACATTTTTTCTAGTTCATAATTAATTCTTGAAAGATTAAAAATAATTTTCATCCACTATGAAAAGTTTCAAATTAGCAAAGTTTAAGGAATCTCGTGTGAACACCTCTACTCTCCCATACCATGCTCTGGCACTTTGTTATACTTACTTTATCACATATCTGGCCATGTCCATCCTTCTATCCATCCATCTTACTGGTGGTGCCATTCAAAGTTGACTGTGAACAACAATAATTTGGTAGGATTATCATCAACTAGAGGTCAAAATTGGCCTAGCTTTTTTTTAGTGTAAAAATTTGAACAGTGAAATACATAAATTTCAAACACACATTCACTGCTTTGGCATATACCTACTTATTTTAAACCCTTAACATAGAGTACTATCATCACTCCAGAACATTCTCTGATGTCCCTTTCTCAGTCCATCCTTGCACACAGGCCAGGCAATCTCAGCTGATTGTTTTCTACCTGACAGGCAGGCTACTTCAGTGGCTTCCAAGCTGAGGCCCTCAGGGTCACTCAGGGTCAGACTGGGATAAAATGTGGCCCATCTGCATTCCTTCCCACTCAGGAATGGTGTACACTGCACCCTTACCTGGCCCCAACTTCTGTGACGATTTGAAAAGCCTTCTGTTCAGGATTTTTCTCCATTCAGGATTAAAAAATAAAAGCCACAAAGCTTGCTACAGAAGTAATGTTCAAATCTAAATTTATTTATTTATTTATTTTTTTAAACATTTATTTTTTTTATTTATTTATTTATTTTTTTTTATAGAGGCATGCTTTATTTATTTGTTTGCTGGTTTGTTTGTTTGTTTTGTTTATACATGCACTGGGTACAGTCAGAAGCGCGGGAGGGCGAGAGAATTCACCAGAGCCAGAGCGGGGAGCAGAGCAGGCAGAAGGACCGAAGTACACTGCTGAGGGGAGCAGCGGGCGGCAGGAGAGGTCTGCGCGCCATGTGGGACCCTCCTCCGGTGGCCGGGGAGCAGCCGGGGATCGAACCGGCGCCGCAGAGGCCGCGCGCAGCTTCGCAACCCAGCGCTCAACCGCTGCGCCACCGGGGAGGCCCCAAATCTAAATTTAAAAAGAAAAGTAACTGCTTAACAAAAATTGAACTGGCTACTAAAAGAGGGAAGTTTTTTTAAAAGAAGACCCGAAAGCTTACTGTGTATTTTTCCATGTGATGATACACTTCTTACCCTTTGATGGCTAAAAGCAGACAATGGAACAGGAAGACTGAAAAGGAAAAGAACCTGGGCTGGAACCAAGAACTGACAGCATCTGTTTTTAAAGACACAAAACACCACACCAAAGAATTCTTTCGTCTCGAACATAATAAACGACATTTAAAGTTATTTTGTGTTACCCATGCCGGCCCGCTCAGCAACATCTGAGCATGTGGACACGCACCTGCTTGTGTAGGAACCTCGTCTTCCCCACCACCTCACAGAAATTTTCAGGGGCAATACACTGTGTGTGTTTGTGAGTGTCTGTGCACACACATGCACATACCTGCACTCCCCCATGCTGGGGAGGCGGTGGGGTATATGTGGAAGTCCCGGGTGCCCAGCCCAATCTGCCCTCCCCAGGACGGGCTCTGTAAATGCCCCAGAGCCCCACTGGGGCCCAAGCACAGCCCAGGAGACTGTCCTGTTGAGTCACTTCACCCACAACCACCGGATGAAGATGGAGAACCCCTTCGCGTCTTTCAGGGCCCCTCCACCCCATCTCCCTGACAGGACGGGCTGCACAAAGGCAGGGGAGCCAGCGCCTCCCTGACTGTCCCTTCCCCTCCCGGCTCCACATTAGAGGGAAAATGCCCCACTCTCACCCAACCCTCACCATGAAACTGAGGAGCAAGCAAAATTAAAAGTTGGCCAAGTTCACCAAAGGTCCAACGGGGAAACACAGGAAACAGACTAGAATCTGCTCATCTACAGGGGGTAACTAGCACTAGGGACCTTATTTACATATGAAAGAACTAAAATAAGTGAAGGAACATGGCAGCAATGGTGTCTTGGGTTCCAGGGAGGCCTCTGAGGGGCTTTGTGACATTAGGCCTGGCCAGAGAAGGAAGGAGAGGGTTTGCAGAGGGGGCATCTCCTCTTGAGCTGATGGAAAGGTGGGGCAAGTTAGAAGGGGCAAAGAAATGCAACTTCTTTCAACAAACACAAGTGATAGGTCTCTGTCTAGAAGGTGTTCAACAAAACTTAAAACTCCTGATCGCGCACACTCCCTCACTCAGTGACAGCTCAAAGGAAAAACGAAGCCTTTTCTCTTTCATGATTTAAATGCACTTGGATCTCCACCAGCAAAAAAATTCTCATTTTATATATCCATACAAGAGCAAAGAGGTAGTAATATTGAATTTAGTTTTAAAAATCTTTTCCCTATACTCACCCTCTAGGGATTCCCACCCCATATTTTTCTTCTTCTTAGTAATGTTCCTTATCACCTGATATTTAAATATTTAGCTGTTGGTTTCCAGCCACCACCAACCAAACACACATACATACAACCCTCTAAGGGCCCTGAATGGCATCCAGTACTTGTTTAAAAACACTTCCTGCATGAGAAAAAATAATTATTACTCCAATTGTTTAGTCAACCACACCAAATACAATGTTACTTATAAATTGTGCTTTAATTTCTGCAATCAGATATGATGCAGTGAGATACAAGTATAAACTTTCATTGTACATCCGGAAAATAAAAAGCACATTTATACAGATTTAGCCCAACAGTTTCTTAAAAAAAAAAAAAAAAAAGTCTCATATGTAATTAAAGCTAATTTATCTTCAGTGTAAAAACTTGGAGGTATGAACAAACTCAGGATATTATATACACTAAATTAATGTACATTTCAAACAAACTTGCACAGTGCAACATTTTAAGTATATGGTGGCGTTTCAGCTTTTACTGTTAAACATATCCACATCTCAATCTTGAATAAAAATGTCACAATATATAAACCCACGGAAAATTTTAAACACAAATACAAGTTTATAGAAATCTGATTTCAAATATAAATACATAAATTGTCATGACCTTACATGTTACAACAGCTTACTTACTTTTCTATTTTAATTTTTAAAAAATCATAGAAAAATATTTCAATGCACATTCAACTGTTATGACAAGGGCCATGACCTTGTGCCTTTAAACCATCCTTTGTGGAGTGTAAAGCATCACACCGGGCATTTTTGGAATGAAAATAACTAAGATCCTAAGACTGAAGAGGTTAATGTATAAACATTCACGTTGTAAGATGGTAACAAAAATAGTCAGCTCCATGTGTATTTGGGAGGCAGCAGGGCTGAGCAGTCAGTGGCGGTGAGTGCTAGCGTACGAAGGCCCGCAGGACACATGGGAAGGTAGCAAATGAACTAGTGTATTTGAAAAATCCCCACTGCAAGCCTAACACTGACTGACCTCACTACTAAGACTCGTAAGGCAACCGAAACTGGACACACTTCTGGCCCCAAGATGCAAGAACCGTGCCCTCCCCTCACCCTCTGTGGTCTCAACAGACCAACCCGGCTCACGTGTCAGCAAGGAGTGGGGAGAAGAGCAAAACCATGTCTCATAGGTATGAAAGATGATTCAGTGCAAAGGGAGATACTCTTCTTTGTCGACAGTTGTAAAATTTCTTATTGTCCTTGAGCAATTGAAAGTTTTTCCAAACATATGATATTCAATCAGAATCTCTACTGGTGAGCAAAGGCATGTAAAAGGCAAACATTTCATTTGAAATATCCTAGCAGGAAATTTTCTTTCCCTCCCTTTTGGAGGATTTAACAGGGTTCCACTGAGAATGAAAAAAACTGGTCTTTACAAAGTGTACTTTCCTGCATTTAAAAATATATATCATTTACACAGCAGATCCAAGAAGGTAACCAGGCATTGTCAAGTTTCTATGGCTTTTTAAATTGCTGAGGTACTGTATGATCATCGCCATTTCTGATACTTATGCTGGACGGCTTCCCTATGAAGGTCACGTTCAGAAGCGATCCTACTCAACAAGCTGTAAGGGGACAGGGAACGTGGGGAAACTGAGGGGCTGCCGCAGAGGCACTACGGGTCCAGCACGCTACGAGAAAAGGCAAAGCAATTACTTTCCAACACTGAGAGCCTCCAGAAGAAAGGAAGTTACTCTGGGCAAACCAAAGCGATCCCCCAGTTTAACCAGCAGGTTTAGCAGCACGATCCTGGGGCTCTGCACAAGGCAGGAGCATGAGGGTCGGTGGAGAGTGGCAGAGGGCAGGCAGAGAGAAACTAGGTGCTGTCAGCACCCCGAAAGGGGTAATGTGGTCTGAAATGTCAGGTAGGTGGCAGGGTAGGAATTCCCCAGCTTTTCTACAGGCAAAAGGACGTAGAAAGGAAAAATGCTATTGGTTGTTTAAAGGAACGCCATATGCCTCAAATACCTCTACTTGTATCGTTCAATTCACCAGACACTCACGTAAGGCGGAACTTTCTCCAGTCTGCGGTGGGTTATAGGGACACTTGCTATCCCAATGACTGGATGAATTTTCTTGGCACAGACAGGATCTGAAGAAAGTACTGAGTCCAAGAATAGCTAGCTTATCAAAGTCCTTTCTAGTAGTTAACCAGCCTTTGCTGGCTCTATACAATACTTAAGCATCAGACAACGGCTACAATTCCATCATGGGTCAAGTAGTAATGCCTGTCAATAATACTAGAGATACGGTTTTAATTGCATAGTCTTTCAAGACCATGAGAAAACACTGAGAACCAGCTCTTTTCCTGAAGGCCCAGGTGCACTCTTCAGAGCACTGACTAAATGGCCTCCCCCCAAACAGTAAGCTTCAGCGAGAAATGCCCATATACGTCCGACTCCCGTCCAGATCGCCAATATTCTTCTCGTGCCATCACTGAACGGAAAAGTCACACGTCTCCTAGATCTACAAACTCATCTTCTCGTTTGGCTAAATCTTCTTCATCTCCCAGAGCTTTCCAACCACTGATGGGCAAGACTGGCTTGGAGGAATGCCGCTGCAGAAACGCGAAAGGAAACAAAGAGGACAAGCGGGCAGAACTCCTCAGTACGGAGGGTGCCTCTGCCTGGAGGCCCTGCTGGCTGTGGTGTCTCTCATTGATCTTCTCCTGTAAGCTTTGCACTTCCTCCATCATCTCCAAGAGTTTGCTCATGGTGGCCACTTGGCCTCCACCCAGGATTTGGGCTTCTGGAATCCAACGCAAGTAGCGCTGGGCCCACACTCTGATTTCTGGCCCCTCTATATGAGGCAGCAACAGGCCGTGGTAGTCGGAAGGCTTGCTGTGCCAGCTGTCATAGAACTCCCGGAAGTTGTCTTGCAGCTCATCGGAAGAATTAATTAGTTTGCTGATTCTCTTGCCCAGAAGGTTTTTAATCAAATGGTCTGTTTCTTCTCTGAAAAAGCCTCTTTTAGGAGATGATTTAGACTGGGTGAGTGGCAAAGAAGGTTGTCGTTGATGCTATGGGAAAAAACACAAATAAAAATCTGTTTAGCCAGCAATTACAGTTGTTGTCATCAAAAAGGGGACATAATCCTGCTTCAGCAAGGGGTACAAGACACCAGAATCGCCAGGTGAACACCTCTGTTAACAAGCTGTAACATACAGGGAACACAGCACCTTCCCCCACCACCACACACACACATTTTTAAATGACAGGCTTGTTGAGAAAAGGAGAAAAGGAGAGGCTCTTGCATAGTCACAGGCGGGCAGGAGAGCTGCCTGACAGGGGTTCTGTTTTATTCCATGATGCAAATGTGAGAAGCACACTCTGTAAGCTACGCGCACACGGAGCTGCATACAAAGCTGGGTTGTGACAAGACAGGGAGGCCCCTCATTCCTTTCATCGAGGCACCAAAGGGCACTAAGTACTTTTGAAGAACGAGTTTAAGACAGGCTGATGAGGCAGAGGATTTGGGGTGGTGCCTATTCACTTGCTGAAGAGAGAAATGTTTCTCCTTTGAGAAATCGGGGATGTTAGCATTGATGATAATCTGAAAACCTTTGAGGAGGCAGTTTCAACCACCTGAAGAGAATATCACGTTAATGAAATATTTTTTTAGGTTATTAGGAAACCAGAGGAAGCTTAAGCCTAAGTCATCAAGATTCCTTTAGACAGACAGGTGGGGAGAAAGGAATTTGATGACCTGGCTAAGTTGGCCAGAAGCTCCTGTCTGACAAGCTGCAGAATAGAAAATGTAGGACTATTTACACTATTTTCATCCTCAGTAATTCTAGCTACAGTCAAATCAAGGTGTTATATTTTGAGGTACACTGTGAGAGGGGTGCAAAGATTGGTAAGGTGGCCAGAAAGTTACAAGGGATGAAGGTAAAAAATGTGAGGAGAAATGCTTTTATTCCTGAGGTGTCCATTTGAAAAAAGGATGATTTTATTTTGGGGCTAATCTTACAATCCTCAAACATATTTCTGCCAATGGGCCTTCTTTGTTGAAAAAAAAAAAGGACTTTTTTTTTTTTTAATCATGAAAGGAATACTTCTGTATTACAGAATATGGGATAATGATAAAAATATAAAGAACGGAAAATCATCCACAATACTACACCCAGAGATGACCGGGACTTGTGACTTTACATCTGGGGACGGGAGAGTCGAAGGGCAGAAATCAGTGAGTGACCTGCCTTCTTCCAGGTGACCAAGGTGAGGTGGAGGGAGGGGGCTGGAGAAGGCAGGTGGGACCTAACAGCCACTGAGATTTACCTGCAGGTTCTGCACTCAGTGCTTTATATCCATTAACTTACGCAATTCTCAAGGCCAGTATTACTGCTCCATTTACAAACAAGGAAACTAAGGCACAGAGGCTTAAATCTGCAGAGGCCTTAGCTACCAAGTGACAAAGTAGATACAGACACAGACACACACACAGACATATACACACACACACACACACACAGAGTCTGGCTCCAGAACCTGTGCTTGGAACAGTACCCTACTTGTTCTGGGAGCCCCTTCTCTCAATCTCCTAAGTAGAGGGTGTTCAAGATAGGCCATGTGGGAGGGATCCTTGCATAGTCATTCACAGAACAGCACTTCCTGCTGGTCAGCCACAGCTTCCTCCAAGGCCATGGACACTGTTAACACAGGGCCCCGAGTCTGACACCTGGTCTTCCTTGTTGCCTCAGCCCCAAGACTGCTAGTCTGGCCTGAGATTCCCCAACCCTTTGATTCAAACATCTCTTACTGGTTAGCTCCTGAGCCTAGGTCTCTGCTCCAATCTGCAAGGAGAAGGGGCACTTAGAAAAAGCGGACTCGGGTAGCAGAACGAAAGCCAGCCTCGCAAGGAGGAATGAGAGCTTCCTCCCTTGTAAATGAAGAGGTTAGGCCTGGCTATCTCTGAGGTGCTTTGCCCTGCAGGCTGGGTGGGTTCTGTGATCTGAGCAGGGAGAGATGTGCGTGCAGCCACCAGGGGGCACAGTGCGCCAAAGGAAAACAGAACCTCTGGCCAGGCTGCTCAGGACCCCAGGACAGTTCTGATCCAGCCACCAGTAAAGAGGTTGAGCCAGGAGGGGACCCTCTCACCCCAGGGCTCAGAACCCTTGAAAGGGCAAAGGGGCAGATCTAAGTAGTTCGGTAGCTGACAGCTGCGTGGCTGGCTCTGGCTCACCTAGGTGCCCAGACCTCTTTAAAAGAAGCACCTCCCACACCAGCTCCGGCAGGATCAGAGGTAAGGAGAAGGTGGCAATGGCTGGGGTCTGTCACCACTGCTCTCCCCTTTGTGGAGCCCGTCAGGAAGAAACTCCAGACAAGGAGACATGGCCAGAGAATACCCTGTGAGTCATGAATTATCCAGGGAACCCTGAGATTTTAATAACTAATAAAATCAGGAACAAATATCTGACGGAACACCCAAATCTGAGGCATTTGTGCCTTCCAGCACAGGTGAGTAAACGACAGCGATGTGACGTTGGGCCAGGTGTGACGTGGTGCCTGTCTCCCTAAGCGCTGGGGCACAACCGTGCCTGTGTGCACTGTGGTCTCTGGCTGCTTCTACCTACGACAAAACAGTGGGCAAGCTGTGTCAGAGAAGCGATGCGGACTTTGACAGGAAAACTTGAGTTTATAGCTCATGAAGAAAAGTCTGGCTATTGGGTCTTGCTATTGGAGATAAGGAATGACAGGGGTAGACCCACGATTCCATGCAGCATCCTGAGGGACATTCAGCTAATAGCTGTGCTGGATCAGGTTAAAGGCAAAAATAAAGAATGTTCATGATTCCTGACAGTTGGCCCATCGCGAGTCGCGACTCTGCAGACTGTTTCCAGAATTCACATCACTTTTACCCTTACATCCATGCGAGTCTCTGTGCATATGAAGGAGTGAGACATGTGGACATCTTACTTTGCAAGGCGTTCCTTTCTGCTGGCCTTTGTCCAGTTTTGGCTTTTCCACATAAAGAGGGTTTGTGAACAACATCTGGGCCTTGGGTTCAAACTGTACAGACCAATCCCACACGGCGAGCAGATTCAAGGGCTGGCTTTGTACATCCAGGCTGTCCCTGCCCTGCCAAAACAAGCAAAGTTCACGACAGCTTCCAGTGAGGGTGGAGGAAGCAAACACACACTCCTGAGAGACGGGCACCAGGAAGGGCACTCCTGCCCTGCTGGAGACGCCACCTCACTTTTAAAGGCTGCCTGTGAGCGGCTGTTCACAGTGGGAGAAAGCTTTGGGGGGAAGAGGGAAGAAGGCCAGCAGGCCACACGGCACCATTTCGAGAGCACTACTATTTTCTTTTTTTCAATTTTACAATTCCTCACTTTTTCAACTGAGGAAACCGAGGCTCCCGAAACTGAAGTGAACTAACTGTCTGAGGTCATGAAGCCTGTGAGTGGCAGGTCAGGGATCCGGAACCAGGAAGCCCAGGCCCAATGCTTCTGATGCACGGTGCGGTTTGGCACAGCTAGCTGAGCAAACCCTGAGGCCTGCAGAAGGCTGGTTGGAGCACTGGCTGTGGCTAGTTCAACCCCTGGAAGCAGGACCTAGAGGGGGACTAAAGTGGTTTAAGACGGCAAGACTGCTCATTCCGTTCACTTCAGAGCAATCCAGGCATCAGGCCTGGATTGGAATGGGAGAGAAGGCTGGCTGCTTTTCCAAAGGCCAGCTATTCATGTTGCTTAATCGCACCACTCCAATACTAACTGTCTGGCCTTGAGCAAGTTACTTATCCTCTTTGTGCCTCAGCATCTCAGAGTAACAAAAACACAAACCCCACATGGTGTGATGAAGAGTAAACATCAATATCTGGTCCCAGAGTCTACTCAGGTGATATAAATGTCACATTTATTAAAATCTCATTGCACCTGCCTCATGAGATGGGGCTTCTTTACCGCACGGGCTCCTCAGAGGGACTCTTACCACGTTAGTATCTTTTTGATGAGGCGAATTGAAGAAGAAGGTGCTAAAAATAGGTATGTATAGGCTATCCGATAAAACGGTCAGATAAGTCTCTGTGAATTCAAATGCTGGGGGATGCTGGTGCACCAGCTGCCAGACACAGTCTAAGAACAGCAGGAACACAGGAACCTGTGTGAAAACAAGACACACGTCACTGGGCATTACCAAGTTTGGGACAGCTACCACAAGAGCTGGAACCCCTTCAGAGAAGTATGTGCTTGGGAGACATGGTACTCCATCCCCTTCCAGGGGACAACTCTGTCCAAGTGAAATCACACTCTCGTGGCTCGTACTGGCGGTGCCTACCTGTGTGGAAAGCACTTCCAAGGTGAAATATGTAAAACTCCCACTGTTGAGCAGCATTCGCAGAGGAGCTGGGGGTGCACCTGCAATCGATTTTGATGACAGAGAACCCTCACTTTGAACCCTAAATAAGTGAAATATTATCTCCCCCCTAAAGAATTCCATTCTTCCGATTAGTAACATTATATTTTTAAAAACCTGCACTCACTTGTTTGGAATTTCAACAGCAGTCCCTCTCACATAATGAGAGCCCAGAAGAGAACGAGGACGGGTGAGAAAGGCAAAAGACATAAAAGAAAGTTTTTAATGTTTTTTTCACACATTTATTTTATTTAACCAATAGTCTCTTTTGTTAGGCCCCAGAGGCAAGCCCTGTATTAGTAGAGAATTTTCTAGGTGCTTTGTCTTCACAAATCACAAATGTCTCATCCTTCTTGAGTGACCAGTGACACTGTCAGGTAGGCGAGACAAGCCACAGGGCACGCTCTCCCTTATGGAGACCAGCCAAGGTGGCCCCAGCTCAGGAGAAAGCCATGACCTGACAATCTAGCTTTTGAGCCGAAGTCCAGGGCTCCGTCACTCATACCACAAACTAGACCACCCAATTTTCGTTCAAAACTTCACTGTCGCTGTTGAGATGCCAAGAAATATTTGTAAAGCAATGTTACTTTACACTTCACTTTATGCTCAGTGCCATTAAGCAGAATGGAAACTATCTGAACCTCACCATGCAGTCGTGGAAGTGGACTCAGAACATCGGGGTGACTTCTCGAAGGCTGTGTGAACAGCAGGTCTTCTGTGGGACTCCTTCCCCATTCTCTGCTTTCCACACAGACAGGCACCACCAGTACTAACCACTCCTTCCCCATTATCAGTCCCCCTTTTCTGAAGATGCAGACGATCTCCAACTTACAATGGTTCAACTTATTTTTTTGACTTAGGGATGTGAAACGGATCCACATTAACTAGAAACTGTCACATTTTGACTTCTGCTCTTTTCCCAAACTAGCACAATGCAGTGAGATCCTCTCCCATGACGCTGGTCACTGACAGTGGGCTGCAGCTCCCGGTGATGATGTGATCACTAAGATAACAACTAATCTCTACAAACTGTTTCTCACTTTCAGTACAATATTCAATGAATTACACAAGATACTTAACAGTTTGTTATAAAACAGGCTCTGTGTCAGGATACTGCTCACGGTGTTTTGAGCATGTTTAAGGTAGGCGAGGGTAAGCCTATGAGGCTCAGTTGGTTAGGCGGACTCAATGTATTTTTACTATCAATGTATGAGGGGTTTCTCAGGATGTAAGCCCATCGTAAGTGAAGGAAGATCTACACACAAAATCACACTTCCTGACAGAGGATCAGCTCTCTGCCCATCATATTATTTGATTCCCATCAACCTTTCATATTATTTTCTGCCACTCCATGACTGAAGATGGTCATTTCCATTCAGCTCCTTGGGACACAGAGGAGGACAGACCAGGCCTGAAAGAAACCCCAGGCCTAGTGGGAGAGACCTGGGTCTCCCAGGAACATGCCAACCCCTGATGGACAAAAGCCATGGCTCTCGACTCCCACAATATGTTGTGTTAAGCTGTTCTGCCCACAGACAAACAGGTTTAACGTCTAGAGAAGGAAAACCACGAGTCACGCCGTTAGCATACATCAGCATTGTGGGTGATTTAATTAAAGAAAGCTCACCCGGTTTTCATTATTCCTTCCACCACCATTAATCATTCAGCCAAAGGAGTTTGTACAGCCGTATTCGTGACAAGCATGCCACAATTTAGGGGGGCCTCATTTTCAGTAACTGAACTATTGACACAATGCTGTCTCCAGTGCTTGAATTCAAGGCAAGTGGGAAAGCCAGGGGCAATTCCTATCACCGGAAAGCAGGAGAGGCTGTGTGCACACCACACACACTCACAGTTTATGCCCTGGGGAAGGACAGTGAGAACATAAGTCTAGGCTTTATCTTGAATGAGTTTACATGCAAGGGAGATTAGCGTGCGTCTTGAAAATGTGCTTTTTTTGGCGAAGACTAACTTAGCAGAAATTCTAGGAGTCTCTCTCCTAAGTTAATTTTTATTTAAGTCACAAATCCCTCCTACTGCCACCATAAAATATATATATACCCTTGGTGCACAAATTTAGAAGAGAACATTCTCAACTCGTTTGTTAATATCCCTTTCCTCTGGGAAGGGTTCCATTGCTTAACACATTCAGAGTCCTCAAGCAGTGAGCTGACCACCTCAGGAAGCTGACTGCTTCCTGAGGAGCCAGGATGGAGAGTACTTTGCAAGCCCTATATCTGAAGACAGGCATGGAGTGGGAGATTCTTCCCATGGCTGAAAACAGTCACTTACCTCCTCTTTGTCACTCTGACGCAGATGGTTGCAGCGATCCAGGAAACAGTGCCCGCCCATGATCCACTCCTTCTGGATGAGGCTCTGGAAGCCGACCCTGGTTCTGCAGTGGGGATCCATCATCACTTGCACCAGAGAGGAGAGTAAGCAGCAGAGGTCGGACGCGGTCTCCTCTAGAAGGGGCCCCAGCAGCAATGCAAAGAGAAAGGAGGGTTTGAAGTGTTAAAAGCAGCAGAGCACACTCACACTCACACAGTAAATAGCAGGGTGTCACTCACTGTCAGTTCTAACTCCCTAAAGTCAGAGCCACTGGGAAAAACAGGTGATGCTTTCAAACTGAGCCAAAGTGCTTCTAGCCGGTCTAGCACAGGTTCTTGCGTAAGCGCTACTAACCGTGGATTTGCTCACTACATGAATAAACACAGCACGACAGATGCGCTGCCAGCATGTGGATGTCCAATGTGCCACACAATGAGAGCAGAGTCACACATACCACAGTGCCCCTCTACGCTATGCAGACCAAGTCCAAAACTTGTTCTTTTGGCCAGCATGTCAAAGTCACCATCACTGAACTCACTGTTCTGGACTCAGCTGCTTCTCAGACCCGCCCCACAGGTCCTTTCCCCCACCCCCAGCTCTTCCACTCCCTCTGGAGAAGTTTAATACTCTGGAGTGCACCAAAATGCTCTAGTTCTCAGCTCTGCACCTCTGGCAATTTCTGCCTAGGGAGCACAGATGTGGCTGCTTCTCCCTGCCTGGCCAAGAGGAGAAGCTCTCTGGGGGGCACTGTAGTGGCCCCTGGAGAGCACTGCGTGAATCCCACAGCATGAAAATTCCACTCACATGCCTGCTTGACCTTTGTGACTGAGAGCAGATGAAAATGCACGTCTACATTCATGCACTGGTGCTGCTTTTAAGAGCCTAAAAGTCAGAATCTACATCTCTGTGGTTTCTTCTTTACAAAAAGAAGTGTAATTCAAATTGCTTTCCAAAATGTCCATGAGGATGCTGCTGCTGGTATCACCAGGCTTAGGAAGCCAGCACACACTGAGGTAGGGAAGTGTTTCCACTGTCAATGCTCTCATTCTGACCCTGGAGCCATGAAGCACGATGGGTCCAGGCTTACACTCGTGCTCCTTTTTCTCCTCCATGAAACAACACTAAACTATGGAACAAGAGTTTAACAGAAATAAGTATTTTGTTTTTGTCTTTCCATGCTATCATTTTCAAATCAAGTTTCAGATTTATTTATTTATACAAGAACCGGAGTACAGGCCAGATGCGCAGGAGGGTGATAGGATCCACCAGAGACAGAGCGGGGAACAGAACAGGCACACTGATGAAATACACTGCTGAGGGGAGCAGTGAGCGCGGCAGGAGAGGTCTGCTGCACCATGTGGGATTCTCGCCGGCTGGCTGGGATCAAACCCATGCTGCAGAGGCTGCGGACAGCTTCACAGCATGGCGCTCAACCGCCTGCACCACCAGGGAGGCCCAAATCAAGTTCATTTCTAAAAGAATCTTCCTTTGTGCACCTGAAGGGTGTTAACAGTATACCTGTGGGCACTAAGAAGAGGGCTACAAAATGAGATTTTAGACTAGAGACAACTCAGGAGCTCATCTCAGAGCAGAGACATCTCAGTCACATCTGCCAAAGACTCAAATTTCGTATCAGGCAACTCTTCCCTGGCCTGGGTAAGTCCCTGCTCACACGCCCAGTGCTTTCCCTCCTTCTTTTCACCAGTACTCAGGACTCCAGTCTGTCTTAATCTTTTCAATAAGATGTTTAAGTCAATTGACTTATTTGGCTGTAAATTTCTAGAAGGCATAAGTATAGAGCTCTGAACACAGTAGGTGCTCAATAAATGTATTCAAATCTAAGTCAAAAAGCCAACATCCGATGGTATGAAAGCCACAGGCGGCACATTTTTCACCTGCCTGCTAAAGCTAAATCTCGGCAGTCATGGGGAGCATTAGAGAATGAAAAAAGCGTGGGGCTATGTATGAAAGCATGAGGCGATCTACTTAATCTGAAGTAGAGGGTTACAAGAAACTTAAGATAGTCTAAAGAAAGAGCAAACAGTATTTTAGCTCAGATCTAACCGAGTCCAGCAGCAACCTTTGTTGCCAGGCGCTTTATCCTTGCTCTTTACACATTCTTGTCAGTTCATGTCCTGTCCGCCTGGGCAGCAGGTTAAGCCCAGTAAGGAAAAGGAAATCGTAGCCCACATGGTTTCTGTGGCAACAGCTCAAGGTTGTCAAACACAAAGAAAAGTAACAATTAAACCATCCTTGAGTTTCTTTCTATAAAAGGAATTACCAAAAAATTTTAACTTTAACCAAGTTGAGTTAAGAAAAAAAAAAATCTAAACATTAAGAAATGGAAGCTTTAGTAAAGACACCAAACAATTCCTTCTTGGGCTGCAAATAGGTCTGCCAAGTTTCAAGGGAAAGAATTTATTTTTAAACTGTAACAATGAAATTCAAAGCAAAGGATTCCAAGATTGGGGTAGAAAAGAAAAGCATGGATTTTCATACTTGCTTGCTCCCTCAACAGGACGAGTTCAGTTACACAGAGCTGTACATACAGAAATGTAATGTCAAGTGCAGAAAGTGGAAACCACTTTTTGTGCTTCAAATATATTACCTAAAAGAAGAATGTTCACGTTTTGTGCTTCTAGACATTCTGTAACCTCTATTGCTTTTTTCAGGCAGCGTCTAAATCAGAGAGATGAGAAAAAGGAGCATTAGTTCTTGAGTTTGGTAGCATGAACATCAAGAAATTTAGACTTAGTCTGACTAGGTTTTCAGTTTTCATTCTCATTTATTCTTTTTCACACTAAAATCTTCTAGAAAAGAAGTAATTACCATTTGCACCATTTGGCTACTGGAAGACACTCATCTGCCTATTAAGCATTTAAAATATTTACAAGGGGACCCCAACATTGATGTAAAAATGCCCATTCCTAGAGATTCTTAGTGAGAATTCACACCTGAGTCTGCTGGTGAGTTCTAGTAAGACATGTTTAAACCTCAAGATTGTGCAACCTGTCCACATGGATTAACCCCAGGTAGGTCCCCCACCAAACATATCAATGTGGCTGAAAAGACCCAATATGCCCAGAACCGCATCCCCTACCCCTATGCAATTTCCCCTTGAGACTATTGCCATTACTTGCAGGATGGACTTTCCCCTACTTTATCAGGGGTTTACCAATGCTACTCTCTGCCTATAGTGGTGCCTCTTCCCATTTCTGCCTGGCTGGGGACCCTCAACTTTGCCCACCACTCACAGAGAAGGGCTCTTTTTATCACAGAGAAGGGCTCTTGGCAAGCATTCAATTAATGGGACAAGCGACCAGCTCTTCAAACCCTTCTGGGGACCGGTGTTTGGAGGGCCAAGGTCCCGTCCACGGCACTCACTGGCAGGGCTGAGAGGGGATGCATGCTGGGTCAGAGGAGACGTCTTCCCGTTCCTCCAACTCTCTCACCCCTTGCCTCCCCTGGCCTTCCCCTTTAGTTAGTGATAACAGAGAGGAGCCTCCCTAAATAGAAAGTAGGGAAGGGAACAGAATTCTGTTCTTTGGAAATCTCAACCCAATTCCAAAACCCAAGATGACTAATTGACATTAATCATGATTTTTAAAAAATGCTCCATAGGTAATACACATACAAGATACAGAATTCTTCAAATGATGGATGAAAGCCAGAACCCCACCCCTGCCCAATCCCTAGTTCCCTCCCTAGAGGCCAGCCCAGATGCCTGGGTTAGAATGCCGGGTTGTCAGGTCCCATTTTCTGCAGCCCTGTGGTGCCTTGTCTATAGTCTAGAAAGTCGGTCTCTTTGTGAACAGGTAGCAGGTCTGTAAATTCTGATCAAATGTGCACAGGAATAATAACAAACATAAAATCCAGCTGGCCTTGAATAGACTATGTGATCTAAGAGTATTTAACTATGAAACATAAAACAGCTAAGTATTTGTCAATTTACTATAAAATTCATGAGCAAAACAATGGTTAGAAATACCTGATTATATCAAGCCAATTGCTACTTTCCAACAGAGAAAACCACTTTATATCTGTGTCCCAAAATTCGGTACTATTGTCTGAAACAAGAAGAAAGAGAAAAGAAATCAGGTCATTCTCCACTGACATGCCTGCCACAGACAAACTGTGATTCAACCCAGCCATTCAAGCCAACAGCCTTAGACTTAAACTGGGACTCTGAGCACTCTCCGTTTTAAAGGGCATTTCAAAACTTCAGCTGAAATGGTTTTTGAACTGTAAATGCCTGGGAGGGTGTGGCAGTCAGAAACAGATCTGTATCACTCAAATGAAAAATGCTCTACAACATGCATACAAAACTAAGGTCGACCTATAACGCAAGGAGAGAGAGTAACATGCCTGAGGCAGGGAGAGCTGACATGCAGGCTGCCATTCCTAGAAAGGAAAATGCAACAGAACATGTTCTGATGTCACAGACCTGAGGGGAAGGTTGGCTTCCTTTGGAGTCCTACCTACATAAATACATTTGTCTTGCCCACCTCTACACAACGCCCCCAACCCACATTCTGCATTTTATAGAGATCTAATGTATTTCACTGTTGGCTGAATGAATGAATGATTCTTTTTTTTTTTTAAATGAGGAGTGTACCATGGGAATCTTGAATTTTATACCTTGTATTTTCTTTTCATTTTTTTAAAGATTTATTTATTTTTTATTTTATTTATACAAGCACTGGGTACAGTCAGAAGCGCGGGAGGGTGAGAGAATTCACCAGAGCCAGAGCAGGGAGCAGAGCAGGCAGAAGGACCGAAGTACACTGCTGAGGGGAGCAGCGGGCGGCTGGAGAGGTCTGCGCGCCATGTGGGACCCTCCTCCGGTGGCCGCTGGGGAGCAGCCAGGGATCGAACCGGTGCTGCAGAGGCTGTGGGCAGCGCCGCAACCCAGCGCTCAACCGCTGCGCCACCGGGGAGGCCTGAATGAATGATTCTTAAATAAATTATTCTTTGCAAGCCAGAGTCCAAGTTTGGAAAGGTTACCTGTAAGTGTGACAAATCTCAGAGGGTTAAAGAGTGGTTCAAGAATAGGGACCTCCCTGGTGGCCTAAGGGTTAAGTCTTGGCACTATCACCGCTATAGCCTGGGTTTGATCCCCGGCCAGGGAGCTACCCACATACAACGCAGCAGACCTCTCCAATCTCTCCCGCTGCGCCCCTCAGCAGCGTATTTCACTAGATTTGCCTGTTCTGCTCCCCATTCTATCTCTGGTGGATCTTTTCAACCCCACCCCCAACAACTCTGGCCTGCATCCCAATTCTTCTACATAAAAAATTTTTTAAAAAATGAAAAAGGGGGCCTCCCCGATGGCGCAGTGGTTGAGTGCTGGCTTGCGAAGCTGCCCGCAGCCTCTGCAGTGCGGTTCAATCCCTGGCCACCAGGTGAGGGTTCCACGTGGCGCGCAGACCTCTCCTGCCGCCCCCTGCATCCCTCAGCAGCGTACTTCATCCATCTGCCTGCTCTGCTCCCCACTCTGGCTCTGGTGAATTCTCTCACCCTCCTGCACTTCTGACTGTATGCAGTGCTTGTATAAATAAATAAATAAATCTTAAAAAAAAAAAAATTCTAAAAAAAAAAAGGAGAAAGGAAAAAGGAAAAGTGGTCTATAAAAGTAATTAAAAAAAATGAAGAGAGTTAATAGGTGATTGGGCCTGATCAAATATGAGTCGAGTTCTAAACTGTTCAGAGAGGACAGCCTGGGCAGGGGCATGGGGTGGACGGGACAGCAGGGATGGCATACTTCATTTTCCACTTTCTACATTTCCAATTAATTGAAAAATTTTACATTGCAAAAAATATATATGTACTCCATGAGAAGGAAAATGAAAGTAAAATGTTTTCAGTTGGGGGAAAAAGTTCCCTCAGTAAGCCACTGAGGAAAACAAGCAGATCATCACTTTATATGTCACTGCAAGGGAATTGCTAAATACAGGTATTGCATGCCCATAGCTTTTTCCTTTAATGAAAAATTTTCCCCTACAACTTTTTTTTTTTAAAGGATTTATTTATTTATTTATACAAGCACTGGGTACAGTCAGAAGTACGGGAGGGTGAGAATTTACCAGAGTCAGAGCGGGGAGCAGAACAGGCAGAAGGACCGAAGTACACTGCTGAGGGGAGCAGCGGGCGGCAGGAGAGGTCTGCGTGCCATGTGGGACCCTCGCCGGCGGCCAGGGATTGAACCGGCGCTGCAGAGGCTGCGGGCAGCTTCACAACCCAGAGCTCAACCGCTGCGCCACCAGGAGAGGCCCCCTACAACTTTTAAAGGGAGATGCCGCAATGCTCACCACTGAACATCTGGGATCTGGGGAAGAAGAAGAGGAGCAGCAGTGAGAAGGAGCAGTGGGGCTAAAGCTTGGAGAAAAATGGAAGGAGAGGAGCAATGGCAGCCACCCCTTGGCTACCGGCCCTCCATGGCACTGACCCTGCCAGTGTAAGACTCCAACTACTAGCACAAGGAGCCCACGGAAACTGTCACCTGATCCGCGTGGCATGTCTTTCCCCATTTGACAGAAAGCTTTTGCTCAGCATTCTTCTCACCTATCAGAAAGAGCTGTTTAAATTTCGAGTATGCAGTCTGGATTTCCTGCAGGGATAGGAAGTTGCTTGATAGGTCTTCAGTTTTAACAATTTCATAGGGTGGCCTGTGAATGGTCTTGTAAATTCTAGGTATCAAAAAGAAACGAGAGTAGAATCATACACACAAATTAGAAATAGCTGGTTTTCCTGAGCACTGATTGTATGCCAAGGTCTGCGTGAAGAGCTCTGCGGGCATCCTCCCAATAACCCTCATCACCGAGGCAGCTGCTCCATGACTGCCACCTCCAGGCAACGGAGATGGAGGTGGAGGTGGAGCTGCACAGAGCGAACCACCTGGCCCAAGACTGTGACGTTTGCACACTGAGAGAGCCAGCCAAAGCAGTTCTGAGCCAAGACAACTGAATTGCAAAGCCTAACTCCTCCTTTGCTTTTAATTCATGCACTTTGGGTTAACTTTAAAAAAAAAAAAACTTTAAAAAAATCCTTAAATAAGCAAAAAAGTAGAAAAGAAGAGCATAGCATACAGACAATGATCTGGATTTGACAAGTGTTTACATTACCAACAGAATGCTTCTCCCTAAATTACTTCAATGACAGCTCGAAAAACAACACAGCTGACACTTGTAATGATCAGGTTATGCTGACTCCTGTCAGGGCAATTAAAATCGACCACTCTAAACTGTATCCCTGAAGCCCTAAGCTACCAGTGATAAACAAATGAATGGACTACTAAGAGCTGTGCCCCGCTTCTAAGAAAACAAGAACTAACCAATAACAAAATGTAGAGTAGTACTGACCCATCCAAGAAGCTCTTTTGGATTTGTAGAACACCATCATCCTGTTCTTTGGGCAATGCTGACATTTTCAAAAGGGCACATCCATTGTGGCAGGACCAACACCATATCTGCAGAGGGGAATAAAGATTTTCCAGACATGACATGCACAACCCAACAGGACTGGTATGCTTAGCATTTAAATTCACACAGGAAATTTATAACATTAGCACAAAATGGCTAGGATAGATTCAATTTGTTGAGCCAAGAAGTGGTTTCCACCTCACAGTGGAAAATACTGATTTAGCCTTTAAAAAAAAATACAGGTCTAGGTTAACAGACTCAGACTGGCTTATGGTCTAACATTCACCTTTAACTTGGCTTTAGTACCTGAAAGCTAGATGGTGACATTATCAGGACAGCAGCCCTTAATGGAGCACACTTCCGTTGGATGTCTCATATGAGCTTGCTTTTTCTTTCTCAGTGACACCAGTACTTGCAGGATTTTATCCCCATTAGCAGCAAGCCACTGAGGCTCAGCAAGGCTGGGTAACTTGCACCGACAAAAGAGGAACAGGTCCCATCTGTGGGAGCGCGCACTGGGAAGGCCAGCAAGGAGGCTCTTCCACAGACACCAACAAGGGACTCAACCGGGCAGGTAGCACACTGGGTTGGGAGAGGACACAGGGACAGCTAAGCTACTGAGTCTCTCAGCAAGGTGTCCATACCCTCAAAGGGAAATCAGTTTACAGGTGTTATAAGGCAGTGTGCGGTCAATGGCAGAAGAGAATTTCAAGGAACAACAAAAGAAGGACCGAAGTGGAAGAAATATAAATTACCATAAGTGACAAGTTCATGTGCTTAGGAGTTTTTTTACATACAGTGGGAGCTTTTTGTTTACTGTTTTGCAAGAACAAAAGGCAATTCCAACTGAGGCAATACTTAGGGCATAATAATTTCTAGCACAGCATGAACTGGTGGAGCAGGAAAGGCTGGCTGGGACAGGTGAGTATGCTTGTGTACTCTGGGCTCCACATAAAGACCTGGCCAGCGGTCTGAGAGTGGCTGCCCTTGTTCTGCAGGCCTAGCCATCGGTCTGGGCTCAAAGGTCAAGCTGGGGAACAAAATTACAAAATGGCCTTTTGTAACTGAGCTGCCCAGAGGGGGCGCCTCTTTGCCGTGCGTCTGCAATGTACGCTATACAGAGGCCTCTGGGCCCAGAGGTTAGAAACGAGCACACAAGCCAGCATGCGACACTGGGTACTGCACTCAGGAAGTCAGAAAGAAGAACTGGTTGGGGTCTCAGAGGAAAGGTGGAATCAGTGTTGGGTATGCAGCGTTATCTCGTGTCAACAGGACATGTGTGGAGATATTCAGGAGGCACCTCCAACCGGGGTTTTGGGATTAGGTGAAGGAGGCAGGACTTTAGCTCTGGACACGAGAGCTGATGGAGAAGAGAGAATAAATCCAGCAGGGAGCGAGGACTGAGGACCACGGAACTGCTTTAGGAACTGCCCCAAAGAACACTCCCTTCTCACGCCCAGGCTGTACACTTGACTTCTGTGAGATTCACGAGGAGGCAAAGTGCTAGCACACGGAGACAAATCCACAGGCCCCTTGCTGCCTCAGTCCCTTTCCCAACACTGCGCTAAACAATGTGCAGAAAGCACCAGTCTCGAGCCCTGAGCCAAAGGCAGCAGTGTCTGGATGCCCGCGCACTCCTGCTCCTGAGCAGGCACGGCCCCAGTGCATAAAAGGGACACACTCAATCATAACCGGGAGACAGAGTCTAAGAAATTAAGTTCCTGAGTCCTTTTTGTCTCCTCTCCCAGGGCTGTTCAACTACAACTGATTCTCTATTTGGGACACAACTATAAGTGTCTCATCTGAGCTGAGGCCCTAAGCGGCAATCCCCTTACTAGTCTCCATTTGAGATAGTAAAACAGAAAACAAGCAGAATTCTTGGTTAGAGAGATATCTCACAGGAATTTAGCAAGAAGTACATCTTCTAGGTTGTAATGCACAACTTCTATCTGGATCCTTAGTCTGAAACACTGGACAACACATAAGAATCAAATTCATTAATCCTGTTTATTTTTTTTTAAATGGGGGGGAGGGAGAGTATTTGTTACTTGGTACATCTTTGGATGTCTCTTCAAATAGAGTCAAGGACAGATTTAGGGACCATGCACAACTAGAGGCCAGAAAGCATTGTAAGGAGGAAAGGAACTTTCGGAGGAAAGGGGACTGAGAAGGTAGTGTTCCTAAAGCCAACATGGGAACCTGAACACCAAGAAAGGGAGAGCAGAATCAACATTAAGAACTGCAGAGATGGCATGGAGGATGAAGCGTCGAAAGGGAGGGCCAGTCAGCAGAACAGGAAAAGATGTCATGATCCAAAAAGAAAGGCATCAAGAGGCAAGTCAAGAAAATTAGTACAGAATGCTTTAAATATGTTTGGCAGTACAGGAAGGGTGACCAAGACAGCAACTTGACCCTTAAGGGAGGGTTTCTTCAGGTTAAGGTTAGAGGGAGGCAAGGTTGTCTTCAAGAAGAGCAGAGTGCAAGGAAAGATACACATGGAAGAGGGAAGACTGACAGAAGTGGGTTCCAGAAAAATCTAGGGTAGATGAGATCAAGAACCCAGGCAGAGGTTTGGACTCTAGACGAAGGAAACAGGAGTGCAGAGAGAAACAATGGGAGGTGCAGAAGGAGGAAGCTAAGGAAGAAGGAAGCTCATGAGTTGGTCTAAGACCCCACTGAAGTAGGGGAAAGGCAATCTCTCAGTAAGAGTTCAGAATGGAATCACAAACTTAAGGAAAAATATGTTTACAGCAGCCCCAGGGAAGAATGACACAGGAACCAAGAGAGTTAAACAATAGACTTCTGGAGAGCAAGGGTTCCAGGAGGCAAGGTAAGATCAGCTTCCATGGATCCAGCGAGGTGCCCAGCACTGCCTGATGTAATAACCTCCAGGGTGTTGAGTGGCCCCACAGCAAAACAAAGATAATATTCAGGATCAGAAGACAACGGAGGATTCATGAGACCACCAGACTGGCAGCTTGGGAAGGAGAGAAATTACAAATGAGGCAGGTCTTCACTGAAAAGGGAGTGAAGGAAAGATGAGTGCAAGAAAAGTACAGATTAGGTGAAAAGTCAGAGTAAAAAAGCATGGACATACGGAAATGTCCTGGAACTAGCTAGTGATGTGATGGCTGCACAACAATGTGAATTTATTAAATGTCCCTAAAGGTAAATTTTTAAGTTATATGTATTCAGAGCTTTGTGTCCCGGGATAATTGTGCACATTCCAGCTGGATCCTATTTTTCTGCTGTCCGATCATGCAAACTCCACTAATGACTTCTGGGATGAATAAAGTAAGAACACCTTCCTACATTTCTGTCAAGAGTTACGCGGCTGGCTCCTCACTCAGGTCTCACCAGGACATTGGCTTCTCAGCCATTGGCCTGGTTAGAACACAGAGTACTGACATTTCACACAATGTAGGACGACAGAGCTTCCTAGTCCCACATGCGTAGACAGACAATCGATCCACTGAGCATACTCTCTTTTTCTAGATTCATCTATGAAAGGCCAAAGAATGAAGACCCTCATTTTCTCCTAAAAAACAGTGACTCTCAAAATGTAGTTTACACTTTTGGGGAAAGAGGCAACATCGTTTCAGCTGGCCTGAGAATAAGAAATACTGAGATGTATTTTTTCACTTGCTTACTGCTGGTTGAAAGTGCTGCTACCAAAAGGAACTGGCCTCACAGGCTCCACACGCAGAAAACCACTGTCTCACTTGAGAATGCCTTTAATAAGGACTAAACATAATTAATTCTATAAATCTTGACCAATACATATCTTTCTAACAGTCTGTGTGAGTGAGCAGGAAGTAAACACTGAAGTACAGTATTTGTCTCAAGGGAAACACTTGTGCACCTGAGTTGCGAGCAGGACTAGCTGCATTTTTTATGGATCTGAAAAAGTGACAGGTAAACTACAGATGTTTAGATTTTGGTAACTGGCAGGCATTCTTTCTTCAAATAATAATGTTGAGCCCATCACTTCAAGAAAACAACAGCAAATTGTTGCCAATGTTAAAAATTGAATTTTCAAGTAAAAATGAAAATTTTGGAAAATTATTTCTTTAGTGGACAGCTTCTCAATATTTAAAGATTTTACTGATGAGACGGGACGGAGTGATATTAATGAATGTGATTTTTACATTATATAAGAAAACATGTCATATTTAGACAATCTACATAATCTAGCGAATCGACACTTTCTAGAAGACCAACGCATACAGTTAAAAAATCATGTGTGGGACCTCCCTGGTAGCGCAAGGGGTTAAGACGCAACCTAGAAAGCTGTCCGCAGCCGCTGCAGCATGAGTTTGATCCCTGGCCAGGGAGCTATCCACATGGCACGGCAGACCTCTCCTGACTCACCCGCTGCTCCCCTCAGCAGTGTATTTCATCATCTGCCTGTTCTGTTCCCACTATGTCTCTGGTGAATCCTCTCACCCGCCGCACCTTTGGTCTGTACCCCAGCTCTTGTATGCATAAATAAATAAATCTTAAAAAAAATCATATGTGTTTTAAGATCCATTCAAACTACATGCTAGACCAGTGGATTTCAATTTAGCAGAGAACAAAACCACCATTTATCAATGTTTTGGTATGTTATCATAGATCAATATTCTCCATTATTTGAAAAGGCTACTAGATAGTGCTCCCTTCCCTGGGTCTTCTTCGACCAAACCTTCACATACCACAACAGAATGAACAGAAGCAGCAGATATAAGAATGCAGCTGTCTTCTATTTGCAAAAATACAAAACAATGCTATTCTATTTTTGTTTGAAAAATATAGCTCTTTTTCATAAAAATATTATTTACATGGGCCTCCTTGGTGGCGTTGGAGTTAAAGTCTCAGCGCTATCAAGCTATCGCCAGCCACTGCAGCATAAGTTCGATCCCCAGACGGCCAGGGAGCTGGCCCACATGGTGAAGCAGACCTCTCCTGTCTTGCCCCCTGCTCCCCTCAGCAGTGTATTTCAGTGGATCTGCCTGTTCTGCTCCCCACTCTGTCTCTGGTGAATCCTCTCAACCCCCTCATCTCTGGCCTGCATCCCAGTTCTTGTACGCATAAACAAATCTTAAAAATATTATTTACATTAATATGTAATGAGTTTGTCACTAAAATGAACATAAAAGAATTTTTAGTTTGTTTATTTGGATAGCATTTTTATTTCTGAAAGAATAACTGACAAAAAATATGGTTATTTGGTTTGGACAGTTGTAATTTTTAATATGAAACATCAATAGATACAACCCACATAAATAAAATTCTTAGAGACCCTCAGTTTTTCAAGAGTGTAGAGTCCTGAGACCAGAATTGGAGAACCACTGTTCTAAACCAAAGACAGTAAACCAATGAGGCAGGAACCGCTGCGGCCCAAAGATAGTTTTTTAAACATTTTAATCAGCTGCAAACACTTAGGAATTGGAAAAACTCACATAAAAGTCCATATTGCTGGGCTTCTCCTGTGAAATAAGGACATCTAGAACAACCAGACCCTTCTTCCCAGTGGCACAAACAGCCTAGCACAGAAGAGCAAGCTGCCCAGTCGACCAGGCATAGGGTCTCCGGTTCACTGCAAGGGCCACAATCATCACCTGCCTGGCCTGCAAGGCCTTTTGGGCAGGTGACCCCTGCTGGAACACCTCACCTCCCACACAGGAATGAGTCTTTTGTTGAACCAGTCCTGTGCACAGCACAGCATTTATCTGTCATTCTCATTCCTTACTAAATTCGCTGCAGGCCTGGTAACTCCCAGGCACCAATTAGAAACCGAAGAAACTGCCACAGTCTTGCTTCTCTTTGATCAGTGACCTATCAAATATGGCTCCCATCCCAGGCCATTCTTCGAAAACTAAGTAAGCTCTCCATGTTGTCTTCAGGAGAAATCATGGCCACACCCATTCAAAGATTACTAGTGAGGCCAAAAAGAACCTTAAACCCACAACCCTTAGATTGGTCAACTCATCTGTACAATGGTTAGATGTCAAATCAGGCAGGCACCTAATAGCAGGCAAATTTGTAATCCTCTTAAAGCTGTTTTAAGATATCACTGATTAAAAACCCTAGTGCATCTGTGAAAACTTTAGAATGCTGTCCAGGGGAGCCTCATGTCTAAGAGACTTCTCTAGGGAGTCTCTAAGATATTTTTGGATCACTCTTGGACCGAGGACAAGTTCTTTAGTACCAAAGCCAAGGTCTGCGAGTTGAATAATTTGTCAGGATGGACTGCTGAGCGGCCATGGCTGTTGGGGTTTGCACACAAACTTACTGGTATGCCGTGACCCTGAAAGCGTGGAACGTCCTCTTCGGGAAGAGGGCTGGGGACAACAAAGTGGGCTGGCAACCTAGAAGACAAGAATGTCATCAGTTTCAGTGCTGAACTTAAAAGTCACTAAATATATAAGTTTGATTTCAAAGTGCACAGGAAGCACTTTGAAACAGAGTGATATGACAAGGACCTTACTTCCTTAAGAACCAGCATAGATGAATTTGTCTCTGGCCATATCAGTTGGGAATCTGAATTTCAAATCAGGTTTGCCTCTACCTCTGCTGAACCCTAGGCAAGTCACCCCACCTCTCTGAGTCTGTTTCCTCATTCACAAAATGATGGGAATGGAATATGTGACATCTGAAGTATATGAATTCCAAATCTGAGAATGATCTTTTATTATATAATAACAATATAAGCAACTATGCTTCTTTCAGTCAGGCTAACTTGAAAACCAGTAATTAAGATGACTGCTGCCCAGACATTTTATCAAAGGGCCTCTGCTCACTGTATGCCAGACTGTTCTAATTATTTACCATAAATTACTCATTTAGCTATCCCAATAATCCAGGTAGGCAGCCGCCCTAAGTGGTTTCGGTGAGAAACAAGCACAGCTTTTCCTGGGTCACCCCCATGGGACAGAAAAGCAGGCCCAGGGCATCCAAGGGAAGTGTTTGTACTGAGCACTCACTGTACCAAATTCTTTCTAAAGCTTCACTCTCTCCACTGACCACTAATAAAAAGTCCACATTCCCGTGCCCCAACTTTCCTAAGTATATTTTTGATGTGCTGATACCCATGCAAACACCAATGAATTTAACCAGCACGTGACAGCATTTTTTAGAAACAATTCTGGGCAGGGGGGTGAGCTTGCCAACTATGACCCCCCATGAGCTTGGGCTTCTAACCTTTTTCTGAGCATGAACTAAATTCCCCTTTTCCAGCTCTGTGACAGGAAAAGGGAGTGGGGAGAGCAGGCTGGGAACAGAGTATGTTACAACTCTTGCTCTGAAGGGTCCGTTTCACTGTTATCCCAGCTCACACAGTGACAGGACTAACTTTGTAAGCTTGAGATTGGTCAAAATCAAACCTAATGTGTGGAAGAGGCAGTTCAGAACTATGAATATAAAATGCTCTACAAAATAAAAATTTTATGAAGCTGTTAGCAGGGTGCTGGGGAGCATGTTCTAAAGAGATAAGATTGAAGTTTCTAAAAGAGGACTATGCAGAGTCATCCTTTAAAAATGTAGGTCGGATCACATACACTGCCGATGGGAATATAAAATAGTGCAATTGCTGTGGAAAATAATCTGGTAGTTCCTCAAAAAGTCAAATGCAGAGTTACTATATGACCCAGTAATTCTACTCCTATGTATATACCCAAGAGAAATAAAAAAATCTAGAGATGAAACCTTGTACACAAATGTTCACAGCATTATTCTTAACAGCTGAAAAGTGAAAACACCCCAAATGTACATCAATTGATGAACAGATAAATAAAATATGCTATGGATATATATACACACACATATATATATCTCCATACCATATATATAGATATATCCATACCATTCAGTATTATTCAGCAATAAAAAAGAATGAAATTCTGACACATGCTACACAACATGTACAAGCCTTGAGAGCATCATGCTAAGTGGAAGACATCAAGCATAAAGACCATGGATTATAGAATTCCATTTACATGAAACGCCTGGAACAGACAAATCTGTAGAGGTTGAAAGTAGACGGTCCAGATTGTCTAAGTTGCCAAGGGCTGGAAGTGTCGGGGGGACATGTGGAGTGACTGCTAATGGGTTTGGGCTTTCTTTGGCGAATGACAAGAATGTTCCAAAACTGTGATGTTATGACTGCACATACTATGAATATAAAATTAAAAACACTACATATTTCAATGGGTGACTTACAAGACATGTAAATTAAATCTCAAATGTAAACTATATATTTCAAATGAGTGACTTATAAAACACATGAATTGTCAGAAACAGCACAGCACTGCCAGCATACCTTTCACAGACTCTGTAGCCTTCATTGACACTGACAGCTTTATACTTCATGTGGCCTCTGGTCCGCTCCAATTCCCAGCACCAGTCTTTAAGCGTGTCAAACATTACAGTATGGTTCTTGGGATCAGTGGCTAACAAAACACATTTAAGAAGACAATAAGACATTGTCATGAAGCACTGGCATTTTAATGATGTGAAAGAGGCTCCCCAATTTCCCCCAATAAGATCATTTTTATCCCAGCAGAATGAATTCACTGCTTACTCCTAAACGTCTTCCCTCTTTTTGTCATTCATCCAAAATTATGACTGAGACTCTTTTTATACTGGAGGAAAGAAGTTGTGCTTGTTCCATTCCTTGCAAAAGTAATTTATAGCTCTATGTTCAGTCATCGGACCATGTGATAATTTATATAACATCAAAAGATCCTGTGAAGCACTAGAAGACAGGCTTGGCATAAATGCCAAAATAAAATATTTTTAGCCCTACTAATGTATGCATAAGATGGCAAACTCATTTGAATAGCACACCAGATTCCTCAGTGTAAATCCTCCGTCAATTTGAGCATCACTGCCAACAGGAGGATTTTCCAGTGCAATACCTGGTTACCCAAGGCCATGAACATAACAGTGGATGAGGGTCAGGGCTCTGCCAAGGGCTGTTACACAGCGACGGGGACTGCTGCCTCCGGCCCTGCTCTGCTCACTCTGCCCGCGGGGAGGAAATGCCCAGGTACAGTACTCTTACAGCCCAGCAGACATGTCCTGGGTTCTCTCCATGCCACAACACCATCTGCTGTGTGTGACATGCGTCAAACTACACAAATCATAATTCAAGCCTCTGTACCTCTCAAAATACAAATCTTCCAGGAAAATCAAAGTGTTTGCTGCTCCTTTTAATAAAACCAGATCATCATACAAAGGATGATAACAAGGATAATGACAACAAGGATAATGGTAAAAACAGTGGTTAAGCACTTAGTGTGTGCCAGGCACTGTTTGAGTGTGTTTCATTTTATTTATTTATGACTCAATCCTTACAGCCCTGCAGAGCAGGTAATATTATTTCCTGTTTTACAGATGTGGCACGGAAAGATTAAGTAATTTGCCCAAGTTCACAAAGCTAGGTAATGGCAGAACTGGAATTCAAACTCAGGTAGCTACATAAAGTAATAAATGCAAAAAATAATTCCCTATGGGCGTAACAACAACACTCCAATGTAAGCATAGTAGATTAGACCATTTTCTTAGCTACACAGAAAGGTCCTCATCTAAAAGACTATGTTATAAGCACTTAGGACTTTTCAGTCAAAGCACATTAGTGAATTATTAAGCCCAAAAATAATAAAGTATGTTCGAATTGCAAAGGAATCATTTCTACAAACCTACACTCAGTGAGAAGCTAATTTCTTAATTAACATCTATCAGTTATAACTTTCACTGAAAAAAAAAGAGGGGCAGTTGAGCACCGCGCTGAGAAGCTGTCCGCAGTCTCTGTAGCGCTGGTTTGATCCCGACCGGCCAGCGAGGGTCCCACATGGTGCAGTAGACCCCTCCTGTCTCGCCCGCTGTTCCCCTCAGCAGTGTATTTCATCAGTCTGCCTGTTCTGTTCCCTACTCTGTCTCTGGTGAATCCTCTCACCCTCCCACGCATCTGGCCTGTACCACAGTTCTTGTATAAATAAATAAATCTTTTTTTAAAAAAAAAGAGGGGCGGTTGGAGGGAGAGAAAAAGGGTGGAGTTGAAACAGATGCTACATATCCTGGGCCTTCCAACACACAAAGCGCTACCACAAAGTAATGTAACTGCCAAGGTTGAGCAAGTAGAGGTTCTGGCACACAGACAGACGTGTTGTAAGCCAAGAATCTGTCCCACAGTGGGTTCAGACCAAGAATCAGGATGGTAGGAAGAGGCAGAATTCCTAAAAATAGACTATGATTTTTCAAATGTAAACCCAATAAATGTTTATTTAAATTATAGTAAGCAACAAAGAAGTCACATTTTAAATACTTCTTATTGCAACAAAGTGTTGTAAGCCAGCACCCAATGAACTGGCATGTGTACTTATGAAAAGATTTGTCAGCGACAAAGATGAATTTGCTGAACTAAGGAACACATTTTATGTTCAGCCCAACAGTAGTGCTAAGTATATTTTATGTTAATGTAATTCTCTCCATGTAATGTGTCCTGAATAATAAACAGTTAGCTCTCAGTGAACCCTCATTTAATGGCTATACCCTAATTGCAATGCATTGAACAATTTATAATCTTCAAAACATTCCAAGGGAGGCATTAACATTGCCTTTTTTTTTTTTTTTTAAGTGAGAAAACAGAGGGCCCAAGAGGATAAATTCATCCCAAGAATCACACAGCTGGGTGAAAATTTGGATCCCAGTGGGACAGACCTGGAAATTCATACTTTTTCTACTAAAACCACCACATTTCCCAAAATGCGTGTTCTCTCTGAGACCCACATCCCTACACATGCCAATCCTTATGCCTACAGCACCCATCTGTGCCCAACAGACTCTCCCATGCTCTCCACTGGTCCAGGCACACACCTCACCTCCTGGGAGCCCTCCCTCCCCATGGTAGCTGGGCACCTTCCTCCTCCTCGGCCCCTCCACCAGACAACATGTCACTCAGCTGCTCTTAGAGGGAAGAGATTTCATCCTGTCCATCTCCATATCCCACAGTGCCTGACCCATAGCAAGTGTTCCATAAATGTCTACTAAATGAGAAATTAGTAACAAAGTAACCCTGATTCCACAAAATCTGATATATGCACTTAACAAACATGCCACATCCCCACTAAAAAGCACATGGCACTCAGGTCCTGCAAACATCAACTGCATTTTAAGAGTAACAGGCAGAGCAAGTGAACAGACCAAGGGAAAGATTAGAAAAGGAGGAAGAGAGACATCTTAGGGCCTCCCTCGTGGCACAAGGGGTTAAGTCTCAGCACTAGGAAGCTACTGGCAGCCACGGAAACACCAGTTCGATCCCCAGCCAGGGAGCTGACCCACATGGCACAGCAGACCTCTCCTGTCTCTCCTGCTGTTCCCCTCAACAGCGTATTTCAGTAGATCTGCCTGTTCTGCTTCCCACTCTGTCTCTGGTGAATCCTCCCACCCCCACACCTCTGGCCTACATCCCAGCTCTTGTATGTATAAATAAGTAAAGATAAATCTTAAAAAAAAAAAAAAGACAGACCTCTTCCATGGAAACACTGGAAGATCTAGGCACTAATAGCTAATTCAAATGACTAACGTTTCTTACCTAAAAGATCACAGATGCGACCCTGATTCCACAAAATCTGATATATGCACTTAAGAGCTAATACATACATCTAATTCAATATTCAATTTTCTGGGGAAAAACACTGAGTTTCCTTGGCCCCTGAAAGCAGGGAGCTCTTTCAGTGACTGGGCTTCGCCCATGTGACCTGTGTACTCCTCATCTTTCCACACATAACTGGAGACTCATTTCTACTCCAGTAGTTGGAAACGACCTACGTTTCTTACCTAAAAGATCACTTACCTAAAAGATTCCAGCAAACACATGGAAAATACTTGGAATCTTAAGTTTGCTAACCAAAGTAGCTTTCTGTTGTACTCTTTTACGTAAAACTGTTCTACCGCTCCCAAAATATTTGCTATAAAGCTTTTTCTGGTTGCTTAAAAACTTTCTAGAATGCAAGACATTCTCTAGAGCCTGATGAAATGAAGTCAAATATATTAAAGTGGGAAACAACCCAGTGACAAACAGGGTTATTTTAAACTTGTCTCAACTTTGTCTCTCTCTAGTCTCACATTTCCACTTATAATGTACTTGTTTTATCTTTCACAAGAGAAACAATCAAATAAACTCTCACAAAAAGCAAACATACCTAAAAGATAAGTTAAAGCAATGAAGATCACAGGGAAAGAAATTCTTTTTTTTTTTTTTTTAAGAAAGCTGCAGGGATGACCCAAGCAAAAGGTGACCAGTGGCTGGAGGGGAAGAAAGAAAACATGAAGCACTTTCTGACACTTGTTTCAGGTAGGAACCGAAAGGGTCCCACACACGAAGTATAACCTTACCTGTATTATTTTGTGCAGCGGTTGCATAAGAAAACAGAAACAATCGTTTAAGCAGTTTAGACGACTGGGTATGATGAATTATGCCACTCACAATCTGGAAAAGAATTATAACATGGACATCATCATCAATCAAGCTGGCAGGCTCCCAGGGCCAGCACACTAACACTTGTTGAGATCTGTATCTATGACATTATCTCTTATAACAGTGATAAATAAACTGAATGCTAACCATTTTGTGAGGTTTTCTAAGAAAGCTGAATTTCTAAGGGAATTTTTCAAACATAGTCTAGTTTCTAAAAAACGGTGCTAAAACACACAGAAGTGCCATATTCAGACAATAACTAAGATGCTTAGTTATCTGATCCCATTTGTTGCAGACTTTGGGGTTTGTAGAAGATTAGGAAACCAAACCATTGTACTTTTTGTTTGAAGTTCCAAACAAAAGCATGTTTGGATAGATGACGAAAATCATCACTCAGAATGAAATTTATGGCTTCTCAGTGAATTTTCCAGACCTATACCACTCTGCTCTTGCTTAGATACTGGAGTTATATTTATTATTTCAGCTGAACTACTTACACTACCTGAAAGAAAATCAAGGCATTCCTTGTAAGTCTGGATAATTATCTGGCCAAAGACAACAGAGGAACTGGCCTCTTACTAGATTTCCCCTGGTATTTTTGACAAGATGGCAACTTTGACCTTCATGATCTTAATAATAATATTAATCTTAATAAGAGAAATCTAGGAAGTTACATCCAGTCATGCATGTCAATTTTCTGGGGAAAAACACTGAGTTTCCTTGGCCTCTGAAAGCAGGGGGCTCTTTCAGTGACGAGGCTTGGCCCACGTGACCTGTATACTCCTCATCTTTCCACACATAACTGCTACCCCCAAAATGGAGACTCATTTCCACTCCAGTAGTTGGAAGGCATTAATACTGCCTTTTAGAAAAGCTGTCAAAGGTGAGGGAAGAGGATTGCTTCTAGCTGTTCCACCTTTCCCTTTCCAAGCTGCCTCCTCCTACCCTTGAGAGGCTCTAGGAGTAAAAACATTATGAATTATAGGATTACAGTAACAAGCACCAAAATAAGACATGTTCATGCTTTACCAAGTTATATCTTAACTCTAATAGAACCATGTGGGATTATAATTAACTTTACAGAGTGAAAGATTCCACTCAACTTTGTACAATATAAGCAAAAACTAGAGTTAGTAGGGAAAACCTAATGGGAATTAAAGCCTAAAAACATGCAACTAGTTACCCTTTTGACTTCTTCTTCTTTTGTGAACCTCAGACAAAAGTGGAATACACGGAGGTCTTTGCAATGGATGATCAATTTCTCAGGGTATTTCTTCAGTTGTCCAGAGAGTGCTTTTTTTTTCTCATCAAACACTATACATCAAGGATAAAATCAGGAAGGGAAAATACAAGGCAACAAATAAACAAAAGTTAATTCTAAAGAAACAAGGTAGATGATTACCTCCTAAAAACACCTCTTAAAAGTGAGAGGAATGTACTACATTCTAAGTAACTGTCAGCAGGGGCCCAGTTCCACTTGGTAAAGGCCCTAACTTTCTAAGAACTTTTAAGGTTCTCTATTACTCTGGAGAAAGCACAAGACTAAGACAGACTGGCCACTATCAGAACTGACTCAGATGACTTGCAGAAAACCCAGCTCCAAAAACTAAGATTATAAAAGATGGAGATTAAGGGATTAAGACGCAACCTATGAAGCTGTCCGCAACCTCTGCAGCATGAGTTCGATCCCCAGCTGGCCAGGGAGCAACCCACAGATCTCTCCTGACTCGCCCGCTGCTCCCCTCAGCAGTGTACTTCAGTCAATCTGCCTATTCTGTTCCCCACTCTGTCTCTGATGAGTCCTCTCACCTCCCCCCCATACCTCTGGCCTGTACCCCAGCTCTTGCATGCATGCATAAATAAATCTTTAAAAAAATAAAAATAAAAGATGGAGATTATAATTCAAAAGACTATAAAATTACTGGAGACATGTCTTTAGGATAGTAACCCCTGGATTTATGGCTCAGATGCCTCCTGACAACTCCCCTTCCATGTGCCAGAATTTGAACCCAAGCAGCACCCACTGGTTTTAGGCATGTAAGTGGCTGCTGAATGGTTTCTGAAAATGCCCTGATGACAAAAAACAGAGAGGTTGAGAGAGGCCCAGCAAAAGAGGTTTGTTTAGTCAGCAGAACAGACATCAAGCACAGTCCAAGGCTTCATCAGATTAGCCTCTAAGGGAAAACCTGCACAACTAACATTGATAGCAAAAAGCGTAGTCAAAAATCTAATATATGATGACATCGTGGAGTAATAGAAAAACAGATTCCAAGTTCAAGTCCGAGTTCCACCAGCTAAGTAACCCCCAAAACAAGTTACTTCGCACCTCAATTCTCTCATCAGTAAAAGTGACTTAAACAGGACAAATAGGTGAAGAAATTGTAGTAAACTATAAAAGATCACAAAAATAATATCACTATCGCTACACTTTCAAAGGGTGGCAACTCTCCCAAGGGAAAACAGATACTTACCTCCATAAATCTGGTCAACACAATGGAGTGTAATGTCATTCTCTCCTATAACCTTATTCTTAAATTGGGTTTCCTAAAAGATTCAAAAGGAAGCAACCGTGAGTCCTTTCTCTGCGTGTTAGGCATTTGCAGGCAGGGCAAATCACCATTCTCCATTCACACAGTAAGAGATACATCCCTCGGAACGGGACAATAAAGTGACTAAGTGCTTGTGAAAAAGGCTGGTGAGCACTCTGTTTTTTTCAAATCCAGCATGGCGTGCCATTCCTCGGCCCTGCCAGGCAAACCCACGAGGCCGCCACGCACAGTCCCTCTGAGAGATAAGGGGCAAGTGGCAAGCAGGTTAATGGTGCTCCACACAGATGCAAATAGGTGAGTGACACAGCAACATGAAACCGGCTTTAGAAATCCCAGGTGATTCAAGTTTTTGTCAATGCTGCCTTTGTGTGGGACTAGGAAGCAAGCAGCACAGACCACACTCTGAGTGCCCAGAGCTGCTGGGTAAGATGTGAGGGTGGGTTTTCCTGAACATGCAGTACTCTCGAGCGGTGAAGGCAGTTCTCTCCTTACACCACTGCTCATTCTTCACAGGTAGGGATGAGTCTGACAGGAACAGGACTACTTTGTGCGCAACAAACAAACATAAAGTAAAATTCCAATCCAAGTGCTGCATTCAGCATCAGCTTCGTACCTGAACTCTGCTCCTGGACTTAAGGAAGAGTTCAGTCTCAGAAAACATGGGGAACTAGTAAATTTGGGGAGATGTTATTCCCAAAGAGTGATACATACTGCGCTGAAATATAGAAGAGAATAAGAAAAAGGTGATGGTGTCAACCTAGAAAATCTAGCACAAGCCAGTGAGACAGGAGGCCCCCATGGGGGGATTTAGAACAGTTCGACCACAAGAAGGAGGGCAGAGAGTAGACCGGGGTGAAAGGACTGTCCTCCGTGTTTGTGTGTGTTATGGGTGATGGAGTCACTGAGAAGCTGAAAAATATGGGCCACAGTTGCCCTGCCAATCCAGCCAATCCAGCTCCTACATACATCACTGTCCAACGCAGTTTCGTCATTGCCCAGGAAAGCAATCTTAAAGTTTGTGCAGACCAGTTTCCCATAGATGCCACGCTGACAGGAATCTTCCTGGACACACTTCAGTACTGTGCTGGCTTCACAAAGCAGCTGTTCACCTGATGGAGATCAAAATAAGTCCTCCTTAGAGTCCTTGGGGGACATACAGTGTACAAACAGTCAAGGCTGCCTTGGCTCCAGTTGCGTCAAGACACACACACACAAACACACACACACAGACACACACCCCCCACTGGGCTGTGCTTCAGAACTTCAGTTTCAGCAGTGTGAGTGCTGCAAAACAGGGAAGAAGATGCAGCAGCATGGGGAACACTGAAGAGTGAAATCAAAATAGCCCGGTCATACTTTCACACATGACAGTTCTCTATCTTCTCACTGTGACTAACAGAAGTTTCCAAATAGGTGGCGATCTCAGCTACACTTGCCAGCATGGAGCTCAGTGTTTCTATGAATCCGAGCCAAATGACACCTCACAGAAAGGCCCGCCCTTGTGCTACAGAACAAGGACTCAAGTCTGCTGCAGGGAAGGGCCCTATCTCAGTCTGGAATGGCTAAGAGGGCAGGGGTGTCTCCCTGGCCACAGGGTTTTCAGGCAACTTCCTCAGACACTCAGGCTGCACCGCATGACCTTCTACTGCATGACAACACTCATTCTGGCTCCACAGACAAGGATGGGAGGAAAAGGGAGGTCAGAGGTTTGTGGGAAAAAAACTGTTTCCTCTCTTTTTTAGGGGAGAGTATTTCCTCTCACTGTGTCACCTTTCCTGCTCTATCTGCAGGCGCCCAGCCTACATGAGAAGCTGTATTTCCTGGGGGGAGAGACAGCACTTCTCTTCACAGTCAAAAAGAAGAGGACTACAGGGTAGAAAAGCACTCTGCTGCCTGGAAGGAGAAAAGTTCGTGAGGACTGGGTGTCTGGGTGAGGACAAGTAAAAAGATGCAGGGGAAATGAAAAGCTAAGTGTAAATACTTTGCAACAAAAAAGAAAAGCAATTTTCTCTTACTCCAGCAGCAAGCCATAATCCTTTCAGAATCTCTAAGATAGTTCTTCACTGTCTTTAAATTTATATTCTGCCTCAAAATTCACTTAGTATAACTTTCAATATGAAAACAAATAAAGGTTCCAGGCACTAAGACTACTGGGGACACATATCATGGTTTTTTGGTCCATCTGCCAATGGGTTAATTACTAAGGAAACCCTGGAAGATGGCTCAGTCATTCAGCCTCTGGAGAGCCATGCAGCTTGAAGAAAACAATGAAGTCAGAGTCTCATGGGGTTTTAAATTGTCCCAGAAAATGTGCTTCAGCTAAGTCCAAGGTGGAGGACATATGAGCAAGGCTTCCTGTGCTCTCGACTCCTGACTTTTCATAGTCTCTCCCCTAGATCAGGCAGATATCCGTGTTGTCCTGTGGTCACGCAAAGACGTGCAGTGGCTTATCCGACATCCAGGTGAGGTTCTGCATGCATGACATGCTGCATGGCAGTTCTCACCTGTGTGTGCAAACAGGCTTGAATCATGAGGGGCAGGAGCTGGAAAAGGTCTTAATCCAATCTAGGAAACTGGGGCTCAGAGAAATTAGCTGTGAGCTCATAGCTATACACAGAGAAGAGACTGTGAGATAATCTAGGGGATGAGAGAATGTGTAAGATTCAGCTAAATATAAAAGTTAATTTTAAAATCTATAACCCAAGAAAAGGAAAGATAATAGGCTATATGGATTTAATCATTATTAGAAAAATAATGATACTTTGATACTTAAGAACTGAAAAAAGTTTTATAGATTACAACATATTTACCAAAAAAGTTTGATCAGAAACTTGCACATATTCACATCCTCCCAATAAACAGGAATAAAAATAAAAGTACCAGCACAAAGGTTCTTGTGCTTTGGGGAAATATATTTTTAAAAAGTTATGGAAAAAAGCTTTTGGGATTAGAAAAAAGAAAGTGGAAGAAGAACTGAAAGCAAAGTTCTCAAGATATCCCACCTATGGAAAAGATATACTATCAAATAGTTGGTTTCTGAAATCAGAAATAATCACACTTTGAACTAAATAAAATAAAAATTTTGGACTATAAAACCAATGAGTGGATCCCAAAGGCAGGGGGGAAGGAGGCAAATCAGCACGAAGACGACAATGGTATGGTGGCAGGTAGAACTGGACTTTTATTGATGACCCTAATCTAATATAGCACATGATGATTCTCAGTGATGCACAGCTGACATAAAATATTATAATGGAATGTTACTTCAATAAAAATTTAATTTTTAGAAAAGATCAAAATTTGACTTACACTATAATAAAGTCACTCTCTTCCAATTCAAAGACTTCATTAATCCAGGTTCCTGGTTAATGACCAGAGCTGAGCCCTGGCAGCCATGGAGAAAGGGTAAGCCACAGCATGCCTGGCACTGATGTTCATGTGCACAAGCAGCGACAACAGGTGAAGCCACTCCTGCTGCATCCCAGAGAAGCAGCTGCAGAGTTAAAGGCATCTACATTTGTGCAACAGGGAGTGTGTGGGCTCTGTGGTCACAGGGCCTTCCCTGACTAGGGAACAGAATACTGGACAGGGCCACATAAGGCTACCTGAAATAGGCCCCAATTGCTTGTGAAAGCGGTGAGAATTTCCCAGGTTTACTTAGAGGAGGGTGGAAGAAGAAAAATTCTTTGTAGATGTTGTAATTCTTGTTACTGAACTAATGATCTTGATAGTTTTGTTCAACTTATTATTGTTACATGCCATCTGGAAAAAAACAAAGGAATTTATATCTCGAGATACCAGGGATAATATAATTGGTCACTGTCTTTGAGCTGGACGTCAGGTATGAGGATGACATGACTATTACCTGGCAACAAGTGAAGAGTTACTTCCTTCTCTGCTACTTCCTTTTCATTTGTGTGAATTTCCTGAAAGAGAAGAGCAAGGGGAATTTTTTTCCTCATTAAAATGAAGTCATGTTTTCAGAATAAACATTAAGACACCATAAACCATGAAGAACTTTTGACAAGCTACTTACTTTTTTAGAAGTATTTTTAACTAAATGAAGATAGAAAAATTACAACAGACTAGTTCAACGTATTAAATAATGATTTAAGACCAGTCACTATCAGGTGTCCCAGGAGGAGGGGCAGGGATGGGTTCTGTCTGTCTGTCTATCTATCTATCTATCTATCTATCTATCTATCTATCTATCTATCTATCTATTTGTTTATTTATTTATACAAGAACCAGGGTACAGGCCAGATGCACGGGAGGGTGAGAGGATTCACCAGAGACAGAGCAGGGAACAGAACAGGCAGACTGATGAAGTACACTGCTGAGGGGAGCAGCGGGCGAGACAGGAGAGGTCTGCCCCACATGTGGGACACTCGCCAGCTGGCGGGGATAGAACCGGTGCTGCAGAGGTTGCAGACAGCTCCACAGCGCGGCGCTCAACCGCCTGCGCCACCAGGGGAGGCCCGGTACTCTCTATTTAAAAGTACAAATGCCATACAGCAAAGTCAGGCAGCTCAGGTGGGAAAGAGAGCAAAAACATTCCACAGAATGAATCCCCTCTTCCTCTAGTGAGCCTCCAGGCTCAAAAGCAAAAGATTATTATGTGATCTTGAGAGAAAATGGACATCAGCAAAGGACTTGAAGGTCAGCACAGGAAAAGAGGAATGCATCAATACTGGTCCATCTACTCCAGGGCATCCCCGGGCTCAGTACCATGAGAAGTGGTGTGGGACACATCACTGCCAATAAGGAATCAGGGTTCAGTGTCACTGTTTCTCAATAAAAATATCTTCAAGTGCCTCTATGTTGAATCCTTCAAAATAATGGATTAAAGCTAGGCTATAAATAGCTGGTTAACATAAAGAAGAGCATGGTGAGCCTCCTAATGAAATCTACCATACCAGCTATGAAGTTTTCTTGCCAAAATATCTGCTCAACATGCATGAGCTCCTATGGTAATCTACCAATTCATAAGAAACACTGGGACAGAGGAGCATGTTAAATAACACCATGGGGAAGCAATCAGTCAAATCCTCACTGTGGAAAATTCTATAAGACACAAAAAGTTTTGTCAATAAAATAGAATTTTGTTTCATTTTTGGTAGAAGATTCTGGGAGGTATGAGTTTTCTGCATGTGCTCATTCAGACTGAAATTTGTTATTAGAAGAAACTTGGGTACAACTGAAGCAGAAAAAGGATGGGTACAACCCATGCTGAAGTGGAAGGAAAAAGCCCTGGCTTTTGCAGGGAGGTCACTGGGAGCGTGGTCTATTTTGGAGATGACTGCAATTTCCATCCCAGGAGATGATAATAAACGGAGTTTATGAGACATGTTTCTCAAACTCCAGAAGTGTCAGTTCACCTGGGGTGGCTGTTACCTCTACAAACTCTCAGGTCCTACCACAGGCCTGAGAGGGCAGGGGATAAGCTGGGCCTCTGGCCTTGTAAAAAGCTCCCCAGATGACTGATGCAGTGCTCCAGGTTACACATGAGGGGCTGCTCTTGCATGAGTGCCATGAGTGTTTTGGTAATTTAGAAATTCGCATCGAGAGTTCTCATCATCTATCACTGGCAAAGAGCTAAAGCACAATTATTTTTGACAGGTATGTCATCTTTCTCTGAGGAGAGAGCAAAGCTATTCATTAAATTTAATCAGCTGTTAGAACACTCTAGCATCATTTTGACTAGTGCTCAAAAGCCAGAGTGGAGACTGCCCTATTGTTACTTCTGCTGACGTTATCTGCTGACAAAAAACGTATACTATCCAAACTACCTACAACACATCAATCCTTTGCAGTGGTCAGTGGAATTCTTCTTTTACAGTTCATAAACAAAACAATCAGGAGACACCTTGTAGGAGTCTGTCCTACCAAAAACTTCCTATCCCCAGACATGTGCTCTTTATCCCTCATCCTCCTGGAGTGAACCCTGCTCCCTGAGTTGCTGACTGGAGAAACATACAGGAGTCCACAAAGAGTTAATCATTTAACCTCCCCTATTAATTCAGGTGAAGGTCTAGGAACAGCTAATCAAACTGGCTTCTTAAACTCAGACTTCCCACACACATGGGGAAGCTGAGAAAGCTGTGGTTTTGTCGAGAAGGAGACCCAAGAAGAGGATCTGTGGAAAGAAAAACCAACCCCCAAACACACAGACAGTAATGGTCTGGACCCTCAATGCTTTCCAGGCTTTTATGAAGTCTAATTCATGGCCTGCAGTTTCATGGGTCACACCTCTGTCTTTATAGTAAATCCCCTTGGTTAGCAATTTTTAGTTACAGTGGACTTCTGCTGGTCATCACGAAGGGTATGACTGACTTAGGTCTACAGAATTAACAACACAGTGGGCCTCCCTGGTGGCACAGGTGGTTGAGCGCTGCACTGTGAGGCTGTCCACAGACTCTGCAGCATGGGTTCGATCCCAGCCGGCCGAGGTGAAACTCACATGGCACAGCAGACCTCTCCTGTCTCGCCCGCTGCTCCCCTCAGCAGTATATTTCAGTCAGTCTGCATGTTCTGTTCCCCGCTCTGTCTCTGGTGGATCTTCTTACCCCCCACACCTCTGGCCTGTACCCCAGCTCTTCTATGCATAAATAATGAATCTTTTTTAAAAAATTAACAACACAGGGCCTCCCCAGTGGCGCAGCGGTTGAGTGCTGGGTTGTGAAGCTGCCCACAGCCTTTGCAGCGCTGGTTCTATCCTCGGCTACTCCCTGGCCACCAGGGGAGGGTCCCACATGGCGCACAGACCTCTCCTGCTGCCCGCTGCTCCCCTCAGCAGTGTACTTCGGTCCTTCTGCCTGCTCTGCTCCCCACTCTGGCTCTGGTGAATTCTCTCACCCTCCCACGCTTCTGACTGTACCCAGTGCTTGTATAAATAAATCTTTAAAAAAAAAAATTAACAACACAGAAACCAGAGATGCAAGGGTCAATTGAGGCGACATGTCAATATGTAATAATATATCCAGGGTCAGAAGATTAGGAGCCAACGGCAGAACTACCACTTCACAAGGAAGACTGGCAGGAAAGCGTCAAATGCCAGATCCAGCATGTACTGACTCACTTTGGGGAGTTTCAGTGGAGTTAGTATGCCTCATAGGGTTTTGCCATTATTCAGCTGCTAAAACCCCTCATTCATGGCTTTCCTTGGCTGCTCCCACCACATTCCTTACATTGACCTCCATTCCCACCCCCTCACCAGCTAAAGCAGAAACAAGAGAAAATACAGGAAAAAAGAAAAGTTCCCATATCATTCTTCCTTGTCATTTCCAACTGAATCATGTATGGTGTGTGCGTGTGTGTACATATGTCTTTTTTTTTTAGAAGCAGAGGCTGATACTAGGCTTCCAAAGGTAGTTAACATTTGTGTATGGAAATGGAGGAGACTTAAAAGAGATAGATAAAGATCATTCAAATGAAACTTCTTTTTTTTAAAGACTTATTTATTTATGCACACAAGAGCTGGGGTACAGGCCAGAGATGCGGGGGGTGAGAGGATCCACCAGAGACAGAGTGGGGAGCAGAACAGGTAGACTGACCGAAACACACTGCTGAGGGGAGCAATGGGTGAGACAGGAGAGATCTGCTGCGCCATGTGGGAAGCAATCTCCAGCTGGCCAGGGATTGAACTCACGCTGCAGAGGCTGCAGATTGCCTCACAGTGCAGCGCTCAACCCCCTGAGCAACCAGGGAGGCCCTCAGATGAATCTTTACCAAGTACAAGGTAAAAAGGAGCACAAGGAGCAGTGGGAGAAGAGACAACACCAACACATTTACACAATCACAACAACAGTCAGATGCTATTACAAAGGGGCTGGCTTGGGCATAGAGGAGCACAAAAGGAGGACACTGGTAACTGCACGGAGAGCAACAGAGGGAGGAGAAGGGAGGGTAGACTACTCCTTCTGGGGGAGCGCTAGTGAGGGTGTGCAGCAGTCCAGCAGACGGACAAGCGGGAGAAGGGGAGAAAAGAGAAGATGCTGTAAGAACAGAGGCAAGTAATTCTACGAGATGTGCGATATGGCAAGCATCAGTTTAAAGGAATCATATTAAGGAGTTTGAGCTTTATCCTGTGGCCAATGCAGAGCAACTGAAGGATTTTAAGCAGGGGAGTAAATTTAGCACAGAGTATTTACTACCCCCGATAAACATCTTTCAGGAAAAGGACAGGACTAAATCAGGCACCTGGGTGTCTTCCAGCCTACAGAGCTATCAAGTAGATCTTGCTATCAGCAACTGTCCTGGCCTCAGGGTCCCATCTAAAAGAATGGAACGAGATGACTGCCAGTCTGAGAGAGCTCCACAGCACACCTGTGCAAGGTCAAATTCGAGACATGGAAATGAGCCAAATACATGTGCCCTCAAAGGAGGACTTTTCCCTATCTGGAAACTGTAAAGGAAGACCCATGAAGAGCCATTCCAGAAATATGAGTATCATTGGCAGAAATATGAGTATCAACCTACGCAAGCCCCTTCTGGAAGAAAAACGGTAAAGGCTGCAGACCTTTCCCTACTCTCATCTTTGACAAACGTCCCAAAAGCTAAGTACACGATTTTCATTTTTAAAGTATTAATTCTTTTGCTGAGCATAATTCCTTCTAGCTCCATCCACGTTGCTGCAAATGGCATGAGTTTATCTTTTTTGATTGCTGAATAATATTCCATTGTGTATATATACCACATCTTCTTGATCCAGTCATCTATTTTTGGGCATTTGGGTTGTTTCCAGGTTTTACCTATTGTAAATAGTACAGGGGACTGTGGTGATGGTGCACAGGTGCCTTGGGGAAGGAAATTCTATGGGGACTCAATCTGAGGGGGTGGGGGGAAGCAAATATTGTCTTAAAAATGCTTTAAAATGATAAATGTTAAAATAAAAAAAAAAGTACTAATTCTTCTCCTGCCCAAAGAT